TAGATAAATATCTCTAAAGTATTTAGTGTCCCCTCTTTAATTTAATTTAGACATAAAACTAAAATTCTAAGACAGAAGTAGGTTTAAAAAAAGGATAAAATCTATCTATCTATTCAGTGTTGTCCAAAGTTTAGCCCCAATTGTACTATGTTAAAGATTGGGGATTAGTCAGTTTGGATCTTATCTTGCTGGCAGCATAACAGAATCTGGCAATATCCAGGAAGGTAGAATCCCTTTGATCCAAAAAAGAAGAAGAAGAATTTGTATGTTGAAGGTATCAGAATGACTTGGGTATTTTACCAGATAAGGGGAAATAGATTCTAATATCTGTATAAAAACAGCAGTACAGTAACACGTGGGCAACAGGTTCTATGGCGCCTATACAGTATCACATGGACATAATCAAGCAGCATATGGAATTTTTTTCTACCTGCTTCCAAACTAGCTGAAGGGAAAGCATTAAATCGAGCCAGTGTTAAGGCCCCTCTCAGCCTGGATACTGTAATATTATTTAAGTATCTTGCTGGTTTGAACATATAAGACTGACTGCTCAGGAAAACATTCCTTGCCTGGTCTTGTTGGAGGTCTACATTCAGAACGTGTTGTGTCAGAAGCCTCCTGGCTTATTCATATCCCAAAGGAAGGAGAATCTCTTGCAAAAAGCCATAAAAGTGTACTTTGTCAACGGAGATCACTCTTCCACCTAGCACTAAAACTGTCCGATAATGTCAAGGAGTAAATCAGGGCTACTGTATCTGGACTGCAAAAATCAGGGAGATGGTTAAATTGCAGCAGAGATTCAGAAAATACTAACACTTTGCTGCAAATGATTATTGAGCAATGAAAAGAACACACTACATGAATGCTGTGCCTACAGGTGTGAGTTAGTGTGTCAGCAAAAAAGCATTTGAAGCATGTTGGAACTTGGAACCAAGGAGAAGGAAAATGTCTTGCAAAAGGTAACATGGTGTTGGACGTTCAAGTACTGTATTACTTCCTGCCCTAATCAAAGAAATCATGCTTCCTTTTTGCATCATAGCATTCAGGATGGTTCCCCAAAACAAGCTTCATTATGAAAATTACATGGTGGCATCATTATTTTGCCACCCCATTTTTTTTTAACCTTCCTCCTTTGGCGGATCCTCATGTTACATGTGTAAAAATTCATATGGATTCAAACTGAAAACTATCTACACTTAACATCTCTGCAGATTGAATAGAGATTTGCTGCTCTTGACTCCAAAATGCTTTACATTTATTTTGATTTTTCCTATTTCTCTGGTTCAAGATAGGTTATAATATTTTTCTTGCTTATTTGGTGCTCTCAAAGCTCTGTTGCAGAGGTGAAGCTCAAAGGTTGCCCTGATTTCTTTTTTGCTGCTGAATAGTGATAGAAAGCTGACTCTGGAGCAGCTATTCTTTCAGTCCACAAGGCAAAAGTTGTACAAAAATACATTCCAACTGTCCCTATGTTTACCACCCTTTACTGAATGTTTCCAGACAAGGCTTTGCATGTGCAAAATACAGGTAGTCCTCATTTAGTGACCACAATTGGGAACCCGAAATTTGGTTGTTAAGTGAAGTGGTCACTAAGTGAAACTACGACTGTGCTTATGATCTTACTTCAGCTTTCCTTTGCTTTACAGACATTGGTCGCAAAGTTACTTTTTCATCATCGTTGTAACTGTGAACAATCACTAAAGGAGGCACTTGCTAAACTAGGACTACCTGTACCTTCTCTCATTTCTGGATTTTTATAAGACTTAAGAATCCAGATATGGGACTGGTTTGGTTGTTAAGTGAAGTGGTCACTAAGTGAAACTACGACTGTGCTTATGATCTTACTTCAGTGTTCCTTTGCTTTACAGACCTGCAAAGGTCATAAATGTGAGGATTGGTCGCAAAGTTACTTTTTCATCATCGTTGTAACTGTGAACAATCACTAAAGGAGGCAGTTGCTAAACTAGGACTACCTGTACCTTGTCTCATTTCTGGATTTTTATAAGACTTAAGAATCCAGATATGGGACTGGTTCACATACATGCTAAGCCATAATGTGATTTGCTTTTTGAGTTAGTGTTAGCGCTTTGAAGTAGTCCTGACAAGAAGCAAAACATGAACACTAACTCTGTTCATTGTAAAGTTACATTAACAGAATCTTGCAAGTCTGAAAATATTTTCCCCTTTCCTTTTCCTCTCCAGAAAACTAGGGAGGGTCCCTTCTGAAATGCTTCCCACGCCCCTTTTCCTTCTGAGGGCTGAGACACCTTTTGCATAACAGTTGTCTAGTCTGCAGCTCTTCCTCCTGCCTCCCAAGGTCATTCCCACAAACCATTACATTTAGCAAGTTGTGTGAAGCCAACCTTTGCAGTCTATAAACAATTTGTAGTTCAGCATGAAACGTTAATCCAGACAATTAGTTAACAAGCCAGCTTTTAGCATAGGTGAAACCACTCGTCATCCTCTTCGCTTTACAATTCTGCTGTGGTTTCCCACTTGTTTTTTTTCTTTCCACATAAAATATATTAAAGGACAAGAAAGATGGAATTGCTGCAGCATGGGTGTGATTAGAACTCCAGGAACTGGAGTCATTCAGCAGTACCCTTGATTTCTGGTTTTGTTGGATCAAGTTGATAGCATTGTTATTCACCAATTCTCCAGAGTTTAGCTTCATTCTCAAGACCACCAGAAACTGTAAATGTCTGCATAGTTGCATCTTGCTTCTAGTCCATGCATGTTTCTTTTTAAAACCGATTGTAATTTGAGATTGGGAAATCCTCCAGTTGGTATAACCTGAAGCCTGCCCATTTCCCCAAATTTCCACCCTATCTATCAATCTTCAATCTAGCATTTGAAGATGTTCCTAGTTAGCAAAGCTAAATATTGGCTCTCCAGCACTTTTCCCAATTCAGGCCTTTTCCAAAGGTGGAAGGTCTCTGAAAAAAGCATGAATCATTCTTTTGAAGGCATTCTGCAGGATCATCTTCGGGTTCACTTCCACTTTCTCCTTCCGTGTCTCAGAAACAAAAACTTCTGGTATTGCATATTCAGGACCATATCTCTACTTTTGATCAGTGGAATACTGATAAACCTGGAGCAAGAATTGCCCTATTATCTGAAATCTTTCAGATTCCACTGTTTCCTTTCAGGAAGGGGATTTCTGATAGACTGAAAATACTATTTTATTTATTTATATTTCAGATTTGTCACCACTCATCTAACTCCCAAGGAACTCTGGGCAGTTGACAATAAATAGAATAAATATTAATTAAAATACATTAAAATACAACAAGATTCCTATATAAAAAATAAATAGCTTCCAAGGAACTGATGTTAACTAGAAGTTATTAGATTCGGGGAGCGTCTTCAAGGTGCCAGCCACCCCCAGGGTTGGTTATATCCCTTCTCACCCCACGCAAGTTGGCAGACCCAGGTCTTCATTATAACATTATAAGGATGTTTAGGTTATAGGACCTAGTGCAAAGGTCCCCAAACTTCTGAGGTCAAGGAACATATTTGGAATTCAGAAAGCATATTATGGCCATCATCTTGTGAGATGATAAAACAACAGCTTACTAGAAGGCAACTAAATCACCTGGCTATATCCAGCCACCATTTTATTTTCTAAAAACATCCCTGGGGACTATATGTTGTCCTGACTCTCTGTTGGAAATGCAGGATATGCTTGACATTAGTGCACTGCTTTGCATTCTTTAAAAATAAATGGATAGATTCAGGAACAAATATAGCTCCTTTATTTTTCCACTAAAAGTAGCGCAATCCTATTTATCTTTTAAGTTGAATAGGAAATGCGAAGACGGATAACACAGCATCCGAAGCTCAGCAATACTTAATTATCAAGTTTGATAAACAGTGATTCTTTTCCAGTCACCAGCAGCAGCAACTCCACACCCCCTTGAAAACGCTACCACAAGCACACCAGCATTGTACTCCCGTTTTGCAAGATCAGGCTTTGGGCCGGCTATTTTTAACATCGGTCTGCCAAGCGCAGTCTCTCTTGACCGTTGCGAGGAAATACGCACGGGCCAGAGTTCGCTTCGGTCCCATCAGTCTGCTTCCTCTGTACAGCTAAACCAAGCAAATCTGGAGCAGTCTTAAAAAGCTGCCCGCATATTGCCATTTTTGGCGTGTTTTGAAAACATCATCATTCGTCAGAGCCACGAACGTGAAAGAACTGCCGAAGCAAAAGTAAAATCGTCTTTCAGCTTCTTTCTCGGGACTTAGGATGGGGGAAGAGGCTTCGATCTCCTAATAACGGGTTGATTCGGGGTAAAGAGACAAATCGACAGCGAAGCCCGTTTTAAGGGAAGGTTAAGGGCCCCGATTCGCGATAATCAGACAAAGAAGCCAGCAACGCCAGCAGCTCCGAGGTTGCGTACGCAAAGCGCAAGGAAGTGAAACTCGCCTCGGCAGCTCGTGGGCGATTCTTCCGAGAGCGCTTACGGAGTGACTGGCGTGGCACCGCAGTGCGAAGGGCCAACTTGGCCCAGCGTCTTGCAACCGCCCGAGGCACCCTCGCGCAATTGCCGCGGCGGGGGAGGCGGCAGCCCGGTTTTCCTGCTCTGTAACGCGGTTGGCAGGTTTGCAGGCAGAGAAAGCTCAGCCCAGCCGGAGGAGGAGGAGGCTGGGACCGACCCCTCCTCTTTGCACTATCTCCTCCTCAGCCGCGCTTCGCCTTTCTCCGGCGGCCGCGCCGCGCAAAGCTGCGGAAGAAGCGCGGGCGCCGCGTTGGAGAACCAGGCCGCTGCCGCTGCTGAGCGTGCGCAAATCCTCCTCGCGCATGCTCCCTACGCGCGGACCTGCAAATTCTGAAGGATAACAGA